ACTATTATTTGCCTTTTCAAAGGCATATTAATGAATATCTCAACAGTATGGCATAAAAATAAATGTCTAATACTTATATCTAAGTTAATCTAAGTAATGAGAATGATCGCAAGGCACGTGGGGCAAATTGCCTCATTTCCTGACAGTCATCTAGTAAAGGTGTGTCTAACAGATCACTGATATTTATACAGTGTTTAGATTTGAAGAAACATTTATTTTTTCACTCCCTCTTAACAGTTGCCTTGTTCCCTACATTGTCCTATTGTAATCAAACTCTCCACTTTCAAAACATCAATTCTAACAGCCTCCTCTCAACACTCCAGCTTCATTTCAACTTCTTAACATCCCTCCATCCCCTGATGCCATAAAACGCCTCTGGGTCTGGCGAACAGATTATTTCTGTACTTCTTATACCTTTTATTTGTTATGTTGTTTTAAATTATCACTCCTTGCCATCAGAACATTCTGTCCTTTGCAATTCACTTCACCTCTGTAAATGAAGATCCCTATCTTTTGACTTCCTACTCCTCCAAAATGTCTCCTTTACCAAAAAATTTAGCAAATGTTAGACTCTCTCTTGTCCATCCATCCCTAGCAGAGACTGGTGCAATTCTGTTCACTCTTCTGCAAGTAAGTGGGGTCAAATAAGCATAGCAATGGAGAATAAGAAAGAGATAGTGAGTGAAAGAGGTTGTAGGGAGCTAAACAAACAAACAAACAAAAAAATCATGGGCATTCGCTACTGAATAACTTTCAGTAGATGAACAATGAATTCCAAAACATGCAAGGACTGACTCACTTTTTGACACATCCCTTTATGTTACAATTTTAGACCAACTCTAAGAAGCCATTTTGTTTCCCTCCTATATACTTTGCCTGAAATAAATGAAAGATGATGGTTGCAGGCATGGTCCCCAATTTTTAAAGAGGAAAATAGCATCATTTTGCCATCTATTTTGATTTTATTGAAACAATCCTTTATTAATATAGCTAGATATGAATATTAACAGTACTGTGAACTGTATGAGTTTTAGAGTATGAGTTTTAGAGCTAGAATACCAAAGTTCAAATCCTGCATTTCCACTTACTAGCTGTGCAACTTTGGGCAAGTTACTTAGCTATTCTGTGTCCTACATTCCTCATCCATAAAATAAGTTTAATAATATTATTGAACCCTTACTGATATGACAAGACTAAATGAGTCAACATCCTATAGTGCTTAGGGTTAGTGCTTGATACATGGTCGACATGGTCATTAGCTGTTAGAAATCATCACTTTTTAACTTTATACTACAGAATTGTATATCGAATATAAAAATTACATATCTCATTCCTTCAATTAATCCTATTTTTATTTCTACACTTCAGTAGAAATAATTCACAATGAACATTTCCTGGAACACGTTCTTTGCTTTTGCTGCAAGCTAGTCATTCAATCAAAGTTTACTTGATACAGCAGTTAACCATCCTAACTATAAATCATTTTCTACTCTTTTGGTCACAGTAGACTTTTTAACAGGGCTGTGAGTTCTGCTGACACAGAATCAGTACTCCTTTAAGCATCTGGCATAACTCTTCTTTTTTTTT